CCTTTCCCTACCATCCCACCTTCACCAGGGCATTTATCTGTGTTTGAGAGGCCGGAGGAGTTGCATCAGGACCAACCCATTTGGGGAAGGATATTAGAGCAGGGCAGAGAAGCTTGGCATTTTGTAGCACTTTAAAATGGGGCCATGGCACATACTGTTTAATCTGTCTTAGCTGTTATTATACTGTGCTAATTGCATAGTGGTGCTGGGTGGCAGAGAGCCATTTTGTTCGGGTTAGTCTTAGCTTTGTGTGGGCACTTACTGAGTTCCACAGAAACCGAACAGTGCCCATGCTCAGTAATCTTCGGTATTGTTTGATGTCCTGTAGGTTAGAAATGTGATATGCTAATGCCTTACTGTTGCCATCACAGCCTTGGCATAAGCGGAGGGACTGGCCAAAGCAGCGTAACACATTGCTTGCCATTTGAATAACAACTTAGCCTAGTCACAAGCATCTTTCACGTGTGGTTTCTGCAGTGTGTGTGCCAGGAGCTTCCTGATGAGAACTGGAAAGAATCCCCAAAGCCAGTGTTTGTTCACATCATTTGGGCGCTGTTGCTGGATGTGTTTTCTGGAGCCTGTTTTAACTAAGATGTGCTCTGTTCAGGCAGTAATATCTCTACTAAATGTCAGTTCTTGAAGCTTCATCTGCAAAAATATGGATCCTACATACTATCAACTTTGAGGGCGGTTCAGTAAAACTAGATCTAAAGAGCAAGTATTCAATGAGAAGTCATGCACTGTTTTGTTGTGACTTCAAATAACCACAGGAGCAGATGATTGCAAACTGGTCAAAACTGTTATTTGCCTTCTGCTCTGTTCAAGAAGACTTGGGCTTCTTTAATCTTGTCTTGTAGTGTACAGCTGAAACTGTCTTTGTTAGCTGCAGATATGCTTGGGAATGGCAGTTAGTATGGTTAGAGGAGTAGCAACTACAACTCATGGGTTGTCCAGCCTACATCCTGGCAGAAAGAGGACAAAAGGTGGTTCATCTGCTCTCTAACCATGTGATCTCTTCAGCTGTAGGTTCAAGAGCCATGTCTATTATGGTAGATTTTTCTCACTTGTTGCTTATAAGGGTTTAAGTTCTTTGAACGCTTCTGGAATCAAACTTTCCCATTTGAATTCGGTTGGTCACTTTCTCCATGACAAGTTGTGGCAGCGCGTTCTTCGTCTGAACAACGGGCTCGCTATTGTAACCGCGTGAAGTACGCATCTCTGGATGAACATTCGCAACCGCCCACTCTTGATTCACTTAGCCACGTGTGCCTTGAAGTGTTTTATGCATTTTCAGTGTCTGCCCATTTCTGTCTTTGTAAATGGACTTTGTGTCCCCTGTTGAGGTATATAGGACTTCCACAGCCAAATTGAGTAGCTCTCAAGTGAACACAGACTTACGACATTCTCACAGGCTTCTGAGAATCACCTCTGGAAGAAACGGTCTGTTTTCTAAGGAAACTTAAAAAAAGGCCTCAAGTCATAAGTTTGTTGTAAAGAATGTGTTAAGGTTTTTACTGGTGTCTTTTTAAATGACTTAGGGCTTTCACCTCCCTGGTGACCATCCAGCCAATTCCTTATCCGATGAGTGGTCCATCTGTCCAATTTAGAGACTCCAATTTAGAGACAAGGATGTTGTGCAGGACAGGGTCAGATGCTTTGCACAAGTCCAGGTAGAGATGGTAGTCCACGTAGACCAAACTGGAAGCCTTTGGCAGGTTCCATGTTATAAGTGGCATGCAGGAGTAACTCCACTTTTTTTTGAGAAAAGACTATGAATTAAGTGCATTTTCCATTGTTACAAGGGACAGTTCATGCTGTGGCAGGCTTGGCAGGTTGGTGGAATTGAAGCCCTTATATGAACTTGAGGTGATGAAGTGCCTGTATAGATGAAATTATCAAACTTCAAACCTTCAGTAGCCTTTTAAAGAGGCAGATACTACTGTGTAATGCATAACCAACACATAATTCAAGAAAGAATAGATTTTTCCTGTATTTTACTATTTTAACGTAGTCTTAGGTGTTGAAATGTGTATGTTGTATACTCAGTGGGTGCAGTACCAGTGCTGTTGATAGCACTGGCTCGCAACTGGTATTGTAGGTGCTGAGTGTCTCAGCTCAGACAAATTTCAGTTGGCAGTGCAGTTCTTCAAGGCAGGGCAGGTCTGGTAACTGCCGAATTGGCGATTTATTCCTGAACATGCCAAAGACATTATTTGAGCAAATTTGGTAGGATTTACTTTAGCCTATGGAACATACAGAGGTGCGAGAGTCAGGGAAGGCACTTAAATCGGCATGTTCAATTAAAAAACAGCAGTGATCTAACAAAGAGAGGAGAGTCAGGGTGCACAGGTAGGTCTTGATGTTTCATGTATGTGGGAGCTGTGCCAAGGTAGATACGTGGTCTTTGGCATATCCATAAGCGTCCCGGCAGCATAACTAGAGGTGGGTTTTGTCTACTGGGGTTACTTTCTTGTGAATCGGGGCAACCTTTGTCAATACACAAATCAGTGCTTTACATGCAAAGAACCTACCCCTTGTGTTTGGACCAGGGTCCTGTGGAAGGTGGTATTTTGTGTTTTCTAGAAACATGTGAAGTACGTTGCTGCCTTTGCCATCAGCTGCTTCTGTGTAACCAAAGGCAATGAATGAACTTAGGCTGCATTTCAGGGTTTTACGCTGGTGTTTTCTTCACAAAATATCTTAATTACCATGAAGTAACTAATCCTCAAAGCTGTAATGATTGCCGACATAATGCTTCATATTTACACAGTATGAACAATTCAGTTCAAACTCAAATGACAATCTGAAGAGGTGTTAATGGTTTTCTCTAACGCTTCTTTAATCGAGAAATTGAGTTCTGTAACATGAATAGTAAAGTTTTGACTAAAAAACTGTGATGTTCCCTTTCATATTTTATCTTAGTGGAATGTATTCCGTCAGCGTATTTTAAGTTTCAGTAATTTCAGTATAATTTTTTATGTTAAATGATACAGTTACAAAGTTGTGGTTTTTTGTGAAGGCGGTATTTGGGAAGTGCATGGAGCAAATATCGTGCTGTTTGTTTGGTGTTGCATTCCTAATATAAGTCTTCTAACAAATAGTGATTTACATTACATCTTTAGCTAATTGCATAATTCTGATTTTTCACTAGATTTTGTTTCTAATAGACTTTTTCTTTCATACTTCAGTCTTGTGTACATTTTACCTTTGCCGCTTGAAATCTTAATCAGTTTTCATGTTGGTTTCCAGAGTCCAAGTTACCTAGCTAGTCTTGTTTTGGCATCCTCATTTATGAAATGCCAAAATATTACTAACTATGGCCAAATAAACTCTAGAATTTATATATAAGTACGGTGTCATGGTTTTTTTCATTTGTCTGATCTTTTGAAAGTAAGGCTTTGCACATCTTGATTACCAGTATTTTGGATTACAGAAATATCACTCATGCTTCAAGATGAGCGTACAAAGGCTCTAAAAATGACAGCTGGGAAGCAGAAAGGATATTGCCCAGTTACTGCCTAGCATCATCATAATGTCATCAAATAAATTACTCATAATTTTAAGTTGAGCACTCCGGGGTGGATAAGCACTTTATAATTTGACAGTGTGCCTCCGTGTTTCTTTTGAGGATCATAACTCACGGCATTATTGCTTACTGTGGGAAACTTCCTTGTTGGAGGCTGGAATGGCCATATCTGTTTGTGAAGGACAAGGGAGTGCTTTTGTTACCTTCAAAGAGCCATTATGGGATATGATTGCTTGTGGGAGTGTCTGCTTATGATCTGTTGGAAAACAGCCTATTAATAAAATACAGGCTCTTGTAATAGAGCACTTCTTAATCTTCTTCCTAGGTAGTTATTTATAGGCTGTGACATCTTAATTTGCCTCTCATGTGCATCAACTTCTGTTATTTTAAAAGATCAAGTAGCTTTCACATGCTTCTGAGAATCACCTCTGGAAGAAACTGTCTGTTTTCTAAGGAAGCTTAGAAGGCCTCAAGTCATGTTTGTTATAAAGAATGTGTTAAGGTTTTTACTGGTGACTTTTTAAACCACAAAAGTTATGGAATGTCCTGTTATGTAAATATTTCTGTATTAATCTTGTATTTGTCTAATTACAAGCACATTTTTTCATTTTCTTGAAGGATTCCCAGTTGCTGATAGTACCTACTTGTCTTCAGTGAGTGTGCAATGACCCACCTGGAGCATTATTAAATCTACTGTTCTCCTTATTTTTGTATGCATTTCCTTTATTAGAGTGGTCCTAGTGCCAGATCTTGTCACAAGATGTGCATTGACATTCAGCGAAGGCAGATCTACACGCTGGGACGCTATCTGGATTCCTCCGTGAGGAACAGCAAATCTCTGAAAAGTGATTTCTATCGCTATGACATTGACACAAACACATGGATGTTACTGAGCGAAGACACTGCAGCGGATGGAGGTCCAAAGCTGGTGTTCGATCATCAGGTCAGCCCCAATGATGCTCTTACGGCAGGTTTTCGGTGTTGGTGAATTTGTTGTGGTCGCAGACTCCTGCGATTTGGAAGCGCTGTGCCAGGTAACACAGCAGTGGGGAGAGAGGCTGCGATCTGCACTCACTTAAATTCTTACAGAATTTTGTCTCATGCCACTGACTACTGGTACTGTAATCAAAGCGAGTCAGAAGAACTGTGAAAACCTTTGCAAACTAATTCATTTTATTAAGACATGTTTTATTAAATCTCAAAGCACAGTTCATCTGTTTTTAATCAGTGTTGTAGAGCTGGGTTTGCAGATCTGCCTACTCAGAGGGCGCTGGGGAGCAACTCGCCAAGCTGTGCATGGTACCTTTGGAAGAATACGATATGCAAGGCGATGAAATGAGGCCAACAGGCTCAGGGTTCTTTCAAAATTAGTTGTCTTTGGAAATCTGTATAATGTGCTTGTTTTGTAGAGTTTGAAACACTTTAGTGGAGTGGCTTCTAATCTTTTAAAAAGCCACACCTGACCATGTATTCAAACTGAATACTTTTTTACTTACACTGTGTCTTTAATGGCTTTTGTGTACTTGGAAAAGGTGTTTTGTTTAATTGATTTTTATAAAGCGTGGTCAAGAAACAGCACATCAGAACTCATTTGTAAAGCGGCCCAAGAACTGCTTTTATTGGTACTGTTTTGTAACCAAAGCTGCTTTCTGCCAGCGCAATACACGTTTCTGCTGACACCGAAAATTAAAGATACGTGTTGTCTGCAGAACAAAAGCCAATCAGTCTTTCTGTTCTATTAATAACGAATACCAGTCTCCCAGGTGTTGGGGAGAATGCAAAAGTAAATTGTCAGCTGGCAAGACTACTCTGGGTGTACCTTGTTTGCCTGCTTCTAAATTGTTTCTTTTTTTCCCCCTGCTGTCTCTTAGGAAGGAATGTCCTCCCTGAATTCTTTATCAATCTGCAGCTCTTCCTCTTCTCTCCCTCAGTACCTACTGCGATAGCGGTTTTTGTTCAACCTTCACAAAAATGTGCTGCACTAGAAGTGTTTTGTGTAGGCTTTGCTGAGTAGCATCTCTATCTTACTGTAATCGTGCTGGTTGGTTTTTTTTTTTCCCTCTGGTGTTTTGTAACTGTGTTGCTTCGTGTGTGAAAACATCACCTGGAGTCAGGGAGTTTTGTTTGATTTGTACTGCAGTGAATCTCTTCTATGCCATAAGCTGAATTCAGAGTTTATGGATGAACGTATTTCTGCGGCAGTCTCATCAAAAATCATTGGCCAGGCTACAGCCCTACTTTATGTTGAAGTAATGGGGATAACAGTAAATATATATACTTGGAATGGAATCTGAGTAACAGATTGCAGGCTGGTGTTGGATGGGTTGAGTGGTGATCAGTACAGTGATTTTGAATTTTTCCCTTGCATAGCCATTGTCAGTGGCAATATCATAGAATCACAGAATGGTTAGGGTTGGAAGGGACCTTAAAGACCATCCAGTTCCAACCCCCCTGCCATGGGCAGGGACACCTTGCACTAGACCAGGTTGCTCCAAGCCTCATCCAGCCTGGCCTTGGACACTTCCAGGGATGGGGCATCCACAGCTTCTCTGGGCAACTTGTCCCAGTGCCTCCCCACCTGCTCCGTGAAGAATTTCTTCCTGATACCTAATATTCTCTTAACTGGCAGAATTGGCTACAGATCCCAGTGAAAGACTAAAATGTTTTTCCCTAAAATCAGCAGCTAGAGGCAAGGGTTTTTTAGATGATGAAGGGTGCATGTAGTCTTTTCTTTTTGCTTGTTGAATAGTTGAAATTAGACTCACTTTTAAAATAAAGGAACTGTTTTTAGAGGTTAATACCTGTCAACAGTGAAGACGTGTGTTCTGTTCATTAGAGACTCAGGAGATGTCTAGAGTACTCACTAGGTATCACTTACAGAGGAGGGATGTTTAATCTTGCATCTTAGATTGTTCAAGTCTTAATGTGCTGGCTTAAAATGAATTGTCTCATTCTTACAGATGTGTATGGATTCTGAAAAACACATGATATATACCTTTGGAGGCAGAATTCTGACCTGCAACGGCAGTGTTGATGACAGCAGAGCCAGTGAGCCGCAGTTCAGTGGATTGTTTGCTTTTGACTGCCAGTGTCAGACATGGAAACTTTTGAGAGAGGATTCCTGTAATGCTGGACCTGAGGATATCCAATCCCGAATAGGACACTGTATGTTGTTCCATTCGGTAAGTATCCACACCATACTTTGATTCGTGATATCTGCCTTTAAGGAGAACATCTGGTTTTGATTTTTTTTTTTGGTCAAGTTCAAAGCCCTTTAATCTCCCAAGCAGTGTGTTATCTCACTTGATTTTACATTTGCTGACATTCTGATGCTTCTTTGGTAAGTGCAGGTGGTATTAATTCAAGTCTTTGGAGCTTTTATTACTGAATAAAATTTCAAGTAAAAAGCAGGGTGAATTTTAAATAGTTGATTTTAATTGAATAATGGTAAACAGACCCAAAAGCTACGGTTCTCTTTGATCTTTTAAAGTTGGTAGAGCAACTTCAAGTCTTCTGGTTTAGTAAATACCCTACGTAGTTACTGGAGTGGTAAACTTGGGGTAGTGCAGAGGCTTACAGGGTGTGTATCGAGATGCACAGGCCTCACATTCCTCTGTGCTGAGCACCCAGCTGCTGGCTGTTGTCTTGAGCAGCTGTTAACAGTGGGGCACAGCTGCCATGGGTACTTCATCCAGAGCCTGTTGGAAAGGCAGAGGGATTGAGGTAGAGGACTGTGTAGTGCTTCATTTAGTATTGGGTATTAAAAAAAAATCTTCTGTTCCCTTTCCAGTAACCACATGTTTGCTTAAGTGATCATGGGAACTGTGGGGTGGTTTGCTGACATTAAACTCTGACTTGGGGGTGAGGAGGAGGAGTATTAAAATTATTATGTGGCATTCAAGTGTGTATTGATACCACCAGTTGGAAACTGATCCATTTGAACAATTTACTGAGTTTATTTTTCTTTTCCTTTCAAATGAAAGATGAAAAATTTTATGACAAATGCTCTGCTTTCAGAACTTTCAATTTTTTGTTCTGAATGGCAAAATCTAGTCCAAAACATTTTGCCACAAAACACTGTGCAGGTACCAAAATTTACTGTGGAAACATACTTAAAAAGGTAAGAATACAGGTTTCTGTAAGCACAGGTCATGGAAGTTTAGGTCCTTTGCTGCCATTTGAAAGAAAAATAACCTGCCTCTTACAGACTTTCCACTTGGCAAACTTGAAAGAAATAATAAACCTGTTATTCTTGGCTTGCTGCTTGCCATTTGCCTGTTCTGAGTTTAGTAATGTGCTGGTATCTGGATGTTTTCTCTTACAGTCCGTATTTGTTCCTGTTTGTTTCTTTTTGGGCTTTTTTTTAATAGTAAAGTTTTGATCTAATGGGTTTTAGACATGGAGATTGTGAATTCGTTAATAGTGGGCTTGGAATAATTAATTGCTGTTTTTATGTTCTGAGGTTACAGCTTGATCAGGCAGTACTACAGTAGTTAACTATGTGAAATCGGCCTGGTCATTCTTGAGCCAAAACTCTGTTGGATCCAGTTTTGTGTCCTCATATAGATGATTGAAAAACTCCTTAAAATTGCATTAATAAGTGGGGTTTTGGGGTGGAGAAGCTGTGAGCCTGTAATGGTCTAGTTCTTGAAACAGAGGAATCATATATTCAAGAATTAAGAAGATCAAGAATCCAATCAGGAACTCTGAGTTTGAGAATAATACACTGTTCTGCATAATTCTTCTCTGTAAAAACTTACTATCATGTCCGTCAGTCTTATTTTGGTTAAGGCATGATTTTAAACTTAGAAAAAACATATCTGTTACCCTGATTCACTGGATGTTTCTGTTAGTGGTCACAGTTGGCCAACATACTTTTTTTGAGCTTTGTAAAGACATAACTTTTTTTCCCATTCTAGAAAAATCGCTGCTTATACGTGTTTGGTGGCCAAAGATCGAAGACTTATTTGAATGACTTCTTCAGTTACGATGTAGACAGCGATCATGTGGATATCATATCCGACGGCACTAAGAAAGATTCAGGGATGGGTAAGAGTATAACTACACATTAATTTCTTCCTGATGGTACAAATGAGAAGTACATTGTTAAGTAGGTGAAAGGCCAGCTTCAGTGTCCTGTGGTATCAGGTTAGCATCCTTAACTAGCCCTGCGTACCCAAGTAAACTTCACACTATATAGGTTAAATTTATGCCAGGTCATTTGTCCTTCCTGTCATTTGACACGCACCATCTTCAGCACAATACAAATAATTGATGCATGAAACCACACAGCACCTCTGTGCTGGTTTTAGTTGGGATAGAGTTAATTCTCTTCACAGTAGCTACTGTGTTTTGGATTTTTGTGAGGCTGTGTTTTGGATTTGTGCTAAGAATATTGATAACGTTTTTAGTTGTTACGAAGGAATGTCTATACCAAGTCAAGGACTTTTTCAGTTTCTGATACTGTACCTGTGTTCCCAGCTGCTTCTCTACAAGGAGCTGGGAGGGGACACAGCCCAGGTAGCTGATGCAGACTGACATCAAATGTCATGCTCAGTGTATTAGATGGGGGAGTTGGCCGGGAGGGAAAATCGCTGCTCGGGGATTGGCTGAGTGCCAGCTGGCAGGTGGTGAGCAGTTGTGTCATTTTCTTTTCCTTCCTTTTTTCCTGTTTTGTTTAATTATTTATTACTATCATTATTGTTAATAGTAGTATTTTGAGACAAGAACTAAAAGTATCTCCCTTGAAACTTCATCAAAGACAAAAAAATAAAAGACTGAAAAAATAATTTTCTTTAAACGAGAAAGGAGAGAAATTTTTTGTCTAACTTTAACCAGGTGAAAGATGAAATGAAATAATCTGCTTGGTTTGAGATGCAGAAAGGCAGGCAGGATGCTCAGAGATAGAGAATTGGAGTAGAGGGACAGAGGTTTTGCCTGTCAGGAGCTGCCTAGAAAGATGAGACCTATTGTCCTGTTACTTATGTACTAAATTATCAGGAAGTGACAAAAAAAGGCAAGAGCAGGGAGCAAGGCTTTGGTCTTGTTTCGTTCATACCACTGGAGCTATATTCACCAGGCATAGTTCTGCATACCAGAAACCTTTAAAAACACCCAACAGGCATTGTAACACAGCCATAAAGAACTGATTTTGTACCTCTTCTCCTCAAATGACATAGAGAAGAATGTCCTTCATTTTCAAAAAGCATTTCTGCGTGTACAAATGCATTATTTACCTGTGCTGCAAATCTCCTGATTTTCAGCATACAGCTCGGAAGTGAAAATCTGTGTTGCTATAGGTGAGAAGTCCTGAATATTTCTCATATCATGTATATGTTAGTCCCAATCTTGTTTTCTCTTCTAGTTACTAAGCGTTAGTAGTTCTAGTTCATGAATTTAGGCTGCCTTCCTTAGTATGATCAGGCTTAATTCCTAGCAAATGATTTTGCTGAACTTCTGAAGTGAGTTATTGATGGTTATGAGTTGTTATTTGGTCATTAATTTAGTTATGCCAATGGGGCAGAAGAGTACCCAAGCTCATACTCTCTGGAGTAACTTATTTACTTGAGGGCTTCCAAGCTGGTTCTTTCTTGTATTGTTGACAGTTGCCTTTATTAAGGTGCCTGCATGTTGCCTGATGCTGCTCTACACAACACCTGTGCACTGTTTGATGTCCTTAGAGCTTTTAAGGAATTGATTTGGGTTTTTTTCCCCCTGAAATTGCTAGCATTCTGTCATTTTGCTTTTTAAAAAGTACGTTTCTTTATAGCCAAAAGCTTTAAAATATGTGGCATTAAGCTGACACCTGTGTCTGCTTAAGATTAAAAGATACCAAGCTTGCCTTATGGCTGGAGACGGCACTGAGCTCTGCTGCTCCGCATGTACACTAACTGCAAAGTTTGGTTAAGCAAATGAGACTATAATATTTAGCCCTCCTCCCCATTCTCCCAGGCCCCAAAGTGGTGAATAGTAGACTTTGCAAGAAAATGCTTCATTGGCAATAATTCATGAGTAGATTGTCAGTTTACTGTTCTCTTGTGTGTAGAAAGTAAGCAAACAGATTTGGATGTTTCCCTTGCTTTTGAAAGAAAATGCTAGTATTAGTTGCATTTTAACAGGCAGAGGAACAAAATACTTGTTACATTCAGACAGCAAATGCTGACAGCACTGTTTTCACCCCAAGAAGCAAACCTTTATTGTGCTCTTGTTAGGTAGTGATACACCATTTTGATCTGTATGAACAAAGTGATTCCCTGCTTGGTGGCTGTGAAGTTTTAAGCTGCTTGGTGTGATGAGTCAAGTTGAGGATGCCTGACCTAAATGTTCCTATAAAGTCCCATGATTACATTTTGTTCCTGGCTCACATGTGGCATTCAGTTCTATTCTTAGCTGAGCTATTTCGATTTTTATCCTTTCCAAAAGAACTTAATTGTGCATTTGTGTAAAATTTCCATTAGAGTAGTGAAAAGATTTAGAAAAATTAGTAAAATGGGTAGTTAAGGAGAATCAGTGATGTGGAGTTGTTGCAGTGCTAGAAAACTGTGGTAATGATTTGTTGGTTTTGCTGCATAAATATCTCCTCTTCGGGATGAGATATTTATGCTGTTCAGTGTTTCTTTGCTCTGGTTGTGCTTTGTTTATCCTGGAACTAGTTCCTTGTATAGGTGATGTGTTGGAGAGAATATTGAGTGATAAATATCACTTATTTTCTTGGGAGTAAAGGGCAATAATTTGAGCAAGTTTAGATGTGCCTTTTTTATTCCTGGGAAAAGCTCAAATTTAATCAAGGTACAATTTCTAAAAGGTGGTGGTTTTACAAACCGCCTGCTAAAAGTGTCTCCTAACTCCATCTGCTTTGACACATAGGTAAACCTTGCAGCAATTTGGCAAATGCCATTTGCCAGTGAGCACAGATGCTCTCTAGCTCATTGCAACAAAAAACTACGGTGAAATGCAGCTATTAGGGATGGTTATCTTTCTGCTATATGCTAAGTGTTAGGAGCAAGAAATTTTAGTTCAGCCTGAGAATGGACAAATAGCACTGAGGAAAAGAAAATGCAACTGTGATGAGTTGGGTATGAGGAAGGGCAGTTGTGGTACAAATGGGAGAATGGGACGTGCAGTTGAAGCCTGTAGTTGGCGGAGAGGCAGCAATGTGTATGTTATGTACTTCTGTATGCTTCTAATGACTTTCAAAAAAACCAACACACAACCAAGGAAAACCCCAACCCAACTTGCATACACCAGGGTGTATCTCCGAAGCATACGCATTGTCTGGAGATGCCACCAGTATCAGATCCCGTCAGAAGCCTGACTTGCTGAGGGGACAGTCCGTGACTAACCACAGGCAGGCATTTCAGGTCTGAGGGAGCTAATGGGTATGCTCGTGGTCAGGGCTCCTGTAAGAATCTTGTTTGGACCTGATTCAGGTGGCGTGTCAGAGCTGTAGGTTAGAGGGAGAATTTCCTTTTGCAGGAGAATCAGGATTATCTTATATCCCTTGGCACTGAGTAACTTCCAAAGGCAAATAAGAACAACTCTTATGTTCTTGTGGCTGCTTTTAATGGTGAAGCAGTTCTTACGGGCAAACTGCAAATACTTTTTTAGCTACCTGTGATGTTCTCGGGCCTCTTGCTGGGGCAGGTGCTCGTGTCTGATAGGGAACTGGGCACCTGCCAGGGGGAGTTTGATGGGTAAGGACCACGGACAGAGGCGGCACAGCCCAGGCTGGGAAATCCTCATCTAGGCAGTGTCAGGAAAACTTTCAACATAGAAAGCACAGCAAGCTCTACATGGCCAGGATCCAGCTCAGACAAGCAGTCTGAATATCCCATCCTGATCTTCTTGGTAACATCTGACGTTTTGGCCTTGTTCAGATTAAGGTCTGCCTTGCTAGTGGCCAGGGTGTCTCTTGCTGTGGAAGCACCTTGTCATGTGAAGGACCGTATGTGCTTGTTACCTTGTGAAGTGCTTCTCTGAACCAGTCTCAAAATGCTTCCTTCTGACAGTGAAGGTGAGGAGGAAAGCAGGCAGTCACTATATCCTAAGGACGCCTTGCAGAGATGGTATAGTAAATCTGAATGGAAATCTGCTAACTGACCTGTGTCTTTTCCAAAATCTCACGTTGTTTGGGAGAGAACTGAGTGTTGGGCATCAGGTGGTTGCATTTCCAATGTGATGACCAAACTGTTCAAATGGTCCCCCTAGCTGCTCCTTGGCTGACTGCCAAACACAGTCTCACCATGAAAAATCCAAGAGGATAATCATTATTTTGCTGTGTCAACAGCTGGCCTGCATGCTATCTCTCTCACTTACCAAGGTTTGCCCCGTTACAGTCTAGGGGAGGTGCTGCTCCAGTTTGATATGGATTATAAGTAGTGGTATGGAGTAATTTGCTGACTATTAACTTTTTAAAATTAATCTATCAAGGAGGTGCCAGTTTCTGGTGAACGGCGATATCTGTGTGATGTAGCTTTCTTCCATTTTTTAATTATGCGGCATTGCAAGGAGGGAGGATGCTTGCAAGTCACTTGCAGTGGGATTAGCAGTAATGTGTTCTGAGGGTTTTGTAACTTAGGTGGCACTAAAAGGCTGTCAATTAACTTGCTTCCCTTAATTCTCCTTCATGAATCCTTCAAAAGTGGTGTGTAGATTACAAGTTTTATATTGTTGTTATGCCAACGTGGTGTTTCAAAGCGTATTTAAAAACATGCTATACTACCCCCTCAAATGAAAGATGAGATTTAATTTCCAGACTCCTGTCTAGTGCTGTGAGAAGCACATCTGGTTGATCTCCAATTTACTGCTCTGCAAACTCTGCCTCCTGTGTTGTCAAAGCTCTGTTTTCTGGTTTAGGTACTGGCAGCAGCCAACACTGTGCTTCAAACAATTGTAGCTGTTTGCACATACTAGCCAAAAAAATATTCAGGTTGCTGAAATGTTCACTGTCTTCAAATAAACACCTGTTAGTAGGGACTGTGGTAGTGGGAATATACCTGTTTCATGATTAGGTGTCACTTGTAGAAAAGCTTTTCCCATGCATTATATTTAAATGGAAATTATATTGTACAGTGTTACACAGCATCTTATTGAAGCTTTCTCACGAATTACTATTTGTTTATGTAACTGACTGCTAACTCAAGGCCTGTGTGGTTGAATATTATTTTCAGATATCGACAGCATGAACATTTCATTTTTGCTATATAAAAATAAATGAAAATTTTAAGTTCTGGAGAGAGGCTTCAGACACCTTATTTTCAATTAGTTACTGCCCTTCTACCCTGGACTAGTCAATGAGATTATGGAGGGAGCTGGGAGGGGAGGGGGTAGTGCACTGGCACAGGAAAAGCTTTCACCATCTACTAGACTTTTGGGGATTGTGTTGCATTTCATAATTTCTCTCTACAGCTTTTCCTCTTCAGTCAGTAACGTGTTGTCATAGGAGCCAAGTTAATATCGCATAGCGACAGGCCAGTGCCCTGTTCAAAACAACCAGGGCTAAGTCCTCAGTTGCTGCTTTACGTCCTTCAAACTGTCTGTCCCCAGCAGACCTGAGCGATAGCTGGGCCTGAGAGGCACTCTGAACGGTGTGAAATGGGCAGAGATTCGCTCCAAAGGTGATTTACGTGTACATTTATGCGAAAAAGCAGAAGAGCGAGGGAAATTCCATGGAGCCATTCTTACCATTTTATGTACCCTTTAGATCTATCACACTGCAGATAATAGCTCTTGCAGTGTCCTGGCATTACTGTATCTGAATCCTGTCCTGTGTTGTTTATGACTTTTTCCTAAGTCTTAAAATGAAAAAAAAAAATCAAACCAAAACAAAACCAATGCCCAAAACCCACCAAACTATCCCAAGCAATCAGTTACTGTCACAGGTTCAGTTTTGTCTCCTGTGCAGAGTTAAATTTCCTTCCCAATATATGTTTTGTTAACTCAATATCACAAGTACTTTTCACAAGTTTACAGCCCGTGTCCCTCTCTAATACACTGACCACAATCATTTGAATTATATCCAGCATTTGCTGCAAGTTCGCTGCACTTGCAGATTCTGGAGCTCTCTTACCCTCTAGTGGAGGTGGTTGTCAGTCATGAACATTTTGTGTAGCCCTTTTCCTCTGTCAAGGATCAGCTTTCCTTGCTAAATATCTTTTTGACGTTTCTGTTGTGTTTAAAACATCACAGCATCTCCCTGTTACTGTGTAGTAGCTTGTGTTATTTTGTATTTATTTTCAGGGACTTGTTTACCAAATTGGTGTTCCCTTGTGGTTTTACTTATTCATATTAAATCCAACTTTCTAGTTCGGTCTTTGTCTACAAAAGACTGGATGTCAACTTTTGTCTAGCCTAAGGCACCACTAAAGTATGGTTTCTACACAGTTGCTTAGATAGGTCAAAGAGTTTATGTAAGCTGTGCCTCATCTTAGGCCCTCAGTAAATGTAGGGACATACATTTCCTGATATCTTAATTTTGTATTCTGCATTTCAAACAGTCTCAAGAAGAGATTGATGCACAACTGAGGGAAGCCTGAAATTACCTGACTTTGAATTTGGTTTTGATTGCAGTGGCTGCAGCCAAATCCTATTCTTACTATTGAGTGGAAAAAAGAGGCACTGAACTTTGGTGGCTTTGCCCTCCTTTATTATTTGAATACTAATTTCAGGCAATTGAGCATAAACTAGGTACCAAATTCATTTATTTAACAGCATTTCAGGGGAAGGGATGGGACTTCTATAGACAAGTTTCGTAGGCTTTCTGTATTGATGATATAACTGTATTCCTCATGATTATAATAATTGCAATTTCAATGAGCCCAAGATATTCATGATTTGAAATTTGTGTGCTTTTTTTCTAAAAACTCGGCATGGTCTCAAATGTTCAAAGCAGCAGATAGGGTTGCAAAGACATTTTCCACGTACATTAGCATTGCTGATCAAATTTAGATGGCTCTCCTGCCAGAAATGTCTCAAATATGTCTTGAACTTAATCCTTTTGGGTCAATGGTTTAGTCCCTTATGATGCAAGCAAACATGTTACATGAGAGTTTTCAGAAATTAATGATATTTAGTATATAATTGTCCTGTTAGTTCTCAATTTCCTTATTGGGTGACTTTCACAGTACTCATTAGTCTTATTTAAAAACTTCCTTGTGGTTTGCAGCTAGAACAAGGTATATAGATGATGTTGTGCCAGCATTGTTCCCTGCTCTTTTTCTTTTCCTCTGCTATGCCACCCATTTGCTTATAAACCAGATTAATTTTCAGTTGAAACTCTGTGGCAAACTTGGAGGTCAGAATACTCAGTTTTATGCTGGTGAGAGCTCCAAAGGCTCTGCCTCTTGCTTTTCTGCAAAACCATAAGCTTGGATTTTGTCGACAGGACTCTCAGAATGAATTATCCAAACGTATTTCAGTTTCTACTTAAGTTTATGTAAGAATTAAGCTTTTATTTATTTTTAAGAAATCTTTGGCTTTTTTTGGCTTTGCCAAACATTTCATTAGGGGTTTGAACTGTAGAAAACCAAATGTTGTTCAGGAATTTTAAATCCATGTCTTATTACTTTCCTGGCTTGCCAATGGGAAAGACTGAAGTATGAGACCAAAACCTGTTACAGATTGGGCTTGCTAAATACCATTTTGTGTGTTCTTACACAGCACTATTAAATGGTTTATTAGTGTCGGGCTTGTTTTCTAGGCCGTGTGTGCAGTCCATAGTTAATTGCAGGGAAGAACTTGCAAAATACAAGAGTTCTGAGAATTTTTCATGCCAAAATCTTGATGGAAGGCCAGGAACCTTTACCAGCCTTTGTAAACTGACCCAGAAAGAGAAATGAGACAAACAGGATCTGTAAACAAAGATCACGTGCTCTTCACAAATACATTTTGGAAGGATGGTTGCCTAGGGAAACAGGAAATGGGGAATTATACAACAAACAAAAAGGACAGCCAAACAAATTTGCTGACCTTTTTTCGGGGAATTATGATGAAAACTGCTGGAATCCTCAGTATTTCACCATGTTTCTAAATCTGAAGGTGGAACAGAAGAATGGCTTGGTAATTATACCACAACTATTTAGAAAAGACAAATAACTTCCTTGACATCTTTGTCCTAAAGGAAGCAATGCAAGGTTGTGAGCTATGTAGTCTTGAGTTCCTCTTGAATTATTTTTGAGATTCACAGCTTTTGCAATTACGCTTTCTGGAAGCAGTGCTTCCTTCTATGGATGGGCTAAGAACAAAATCACACCACTCACATCTATAGAGATCATCTAGCTCTATCTTGAGGCAGTTTAATCTTCATTTCTGAGCTGGTAGTCTCCCAGATAGTTCTGCCCGTGCCTTTCCCTAGGAAACAGCAGTTCTTGTAATGGTTTTTGTGATTTCCAGGAGTCTCAAACAGGAGGGAAATAAAAGAATTTGCAGTAGAATTGCCCTTAGCAGGAAAGGAGTCAGCCTTCGGGTGAATGTTTCTTCTCCTCCTGCCTCTCACCCTGCTTTGGAGGGCAGGACAAGAAGCAAATTGTTTGCTCGGTGACTTCTGCACGCCTGTTTTGGGATGTGCCATTTGAGTTTTAAGTTGTGGTAAATAACAAGTTTGCTGTGCAGGAGAGGTCATAGAAAACAGCAGCGTGGGATTGCTCAGTCCCAAGTTTTAGTTTTATATGAAAGATGAAGAGGTGAAAGTAATTAAAGAAAATGGACAAACTAGGTAGTGAGGTTAAATTTAAGATATTCTTTCTTCCAGAATACTGAAGAGGTGGTTATGTGAAATCTCATGCTTGTACCGTGGGCATTATCTAATCTGCTGAATTGCAGGAGGAGGGAAACGCATTTGTCTGATGCTTGAATCTCTTCCTGTTGTTTTCTGGGAACCTGTGTTGTTTTCAGTGTGTAACTTTATTTTTTTTTTTTTTGTCAGTTCCAATGACAGGTTTCACTCAAAGGGCTACCATTGATCCCGAGCTGAATGAAATCCATGTCTTGTCAGGGCTCAGTAAAGACAAGGAGAAGCGGGAAGAGAATGTAAGGAATTCCTTCTGGATTTATGACATTGTGAGGAACAGCTGGTAAGTCGATGAAAGGGGTGCTATTTCTGACATGTATGCTGACTTTCTTTAGAAAACAATCTTATGTGATCCTGTCTCCCAGGTAACTGTAACCCTTTACAGCCATGGAATGGTAATGTTTGAGGCAGTTGAGTTCCCTTGAGGCACCTCTTTTTGTGCATAGTCTTTAGAGACCTGGTGTCAGTGAGCCAGAAGAGGGAGAGAAATAGTGAACTTCTTTATTGGAGGCAGGTGGAGAGGATCAAGGGAAGTAAGCCATTGCCCAGAGGAGCTGTGGATGCCCCATCCCTGGATGTCTTCAAGGCCAGGCTGGATGAGGTTTGGAGCAACCTGGGCTATGGAAGGTGTCCCTGCCCATGGCAGGGGGGGTGGAACTAGATGAGCTTTAAGGTCCCTTCCAACCCAAACCACTCTATGATTCTAAGAAGTTTTTCCTGTAGGAAATATTCAAGGCCAGGATTCATTGTCAGTGCAGCAAATTCAGTCAGATCTAAGTGGTTAATAGCAACGTACATAGTACTAGTTGTAAGAAACTGGTTATTAGAAGCTTTGTTAGAAAATTAAGGAAACTGGTCTGCTATATGAATGGTGATGGAGAAGTCGTCTTGATAGATCTGTCAGCTCTTTCCAGGCTGCATGCAGTGGTACTTCAGGTAGCTGCTGGCTCCAGCATTCTGAGGAAATACCTCCTTGTCTATTTGCTGTATTGTATTTGGTAGCTGGTTGCCACTGTCCCTTTGTAGAGCTGGCAGCGTTTTTGTAGTCAAGGTCTCTTCTAATATGGGGTCAATCACTTGGAAAGATATGTTATTTTTTTAAAAAGCAATTTTCAGCTACAACTTAACTCTGCTTAGACATCAGTGATTGAAATACCAGCTTTGCTGTAGTCTGTGGCCTGCAGCTTTATTGTGTCCAAGATGGTATTCTCCATAATGAAAAATACTCTGTGCTGACAAGTCTGCTAGCAAATAATTCAACATCTAAAGATACCTCTAAACAAAGCTCATGAGGAAATTTTCTAGATTTTTTTTCCTCTTTGGCTATGGAGGACTGTGTTCAGCCAAGATGACTTCCTCTGTTGGATGGATCTCCTTGTAGGGCTAAGGATGGGGATAGCATAATAGAGGACAGTATATAGAAAAGTAAGAAAATCATTGTTATATGCCAAGCAGTTCAAGTTTATGTCATCTTTACATTATAGCCTTTCAGTAACTTTCTCTACTTTCCTGTTGGTACCACTAATCTGCCTTGTATTTCAGGTCTTGTGTCTATAAGAATGACCAAGCAGCAAAAGAGAATCCAGGTAAAAGCCTTCAGGAAGAGGAGCCCTGCCCGAGGTTTGCCCATCAACTGGTGTACGATGAGTTGCACAAGGTACGAGGGTCCAGACACATGTGGTGATTGTTTAGTCTTACTGTTTTTCCGATGTAGTTGCTTCTTTAAAGATGGTACAATGAATGTAGCTTTTTGTTTAGTGTTAGTGTGGTGGGTAACTTTCATCTGACGTACTATCATCTTCTGAAATAAGGTGCTAAGGTACTTGTAATGTCAGTGTGAAGTAGACATGATGGTTCTAGATGAAATCAAAATACAGACGATGGGATATACTAGACCTCCACAGAGTTGTCAAGCAGCTAGCTCCTAGTTGTTCTCCTTCTTAAAAACACTTGAAGCTGTGTTCATTATCCTCAGGGACTTTATCTCACAACCTATTAGTGACTGCAGAGTAACTCCTTCAGTTTAGCTGCCACATTTATCCCTCTGAATGGTTACAGGTAGTTAACAACAACAACAAAGTGTGTTTGAATGAAGGATATGCTGTAACAGAGGTGCCTTATTTTGCCCTGTGTGTCAGAAGCAACTGTCACTTTTCAGCACGATCTGACTTTAATGGACACGTGCATGCTTAAATATACTTGAAATTTTTTGTAGCATGTATGACTGATCGGTAAACTTAGGGCTTTTTGCCTATTAACCAATAAAGCACAAACCTATTAATTAGGTTACCATAACCTCATTATCCTACGAATTTAAATTACTGTGACACACAACTTTTCATAGATATTTTGCAATTAAAACGAACTTTTTCTAAATTTAATGCCTGAAACAGTCTGAAGTGAAAAAGACAAGTATACGTTAGTCTTATTCCATGGGACGTTCAACAGATTTGGGAAACACAACTAGCCCAAAAGTTTGGAGAGAAGGGATATTTTAAGAAGGAATAGGTGTGTGGAGAATTTTTATGATTTGTCTTCATCATGGACGTTAATGCAGGACAGTAAATACTGTTCTGCATTTAAGGGCTTACTTCTAAGGTACCATGCGATAGTGTAAAGTTACTGTGAAGGTTGCTAAATCATGGCAGTTGCCCAGCTTTATCTGAAGAGCTGTTTGATGTACTTGTTTTGAAGAGTGTTATTTTTAGAAACCGCTGTTCAAATGACCTTTCTAAACTCCTCTGATATAAATAAGGAGAGCCTACATCAGTGGGATGCAGAATACATTGTTTTGAGTGATTATTTTTAAAGCTGTGGGGAAAGGTAGCCTGTTGGACTTCTTGAACCACAGTATTTGAAGACCTTTTGTGACATGTTTAATTCAACAGCGCTAAGTCTGAAATGCCAAATAATACGAAGAAATAAATAGTCCTTTTTTAACACTTCTACTTTTCTTGAAATTTGCCAGGCTGGATGAGGCTTTGAGCAACCTGGTCTATGGAAGGTGTCCCTGCCCATGGCAGGGGGGTTGGAACTAGATGGTCTTTAAGGTCCCTTCCAACCCAAACCATTCTGTGATTCTAAATATCTCGGGAACCCGCTAGAAGGAGGCTCTAATAGTGTAGCTTTTTTAGTTATCTTAAAATGGAAGCAGTTTAAAAGTCTCCGAGGGAACAAAGTGATGCTCATAATAAGGTGGAGCAGTTTGTCTGAAAGCCAAAGTTTTGTTCTTAGAGAATAAACCTCTCCAAAGATGCTGATACATAGCAAATAGTTTTTGTTTAACAGATGTACACAAAGAATCAACTTTTTGATCTACCTCTCATCTGCTTAGGTTCACTACTTATTTGGGGGGAATCCTGGCAAGTCCTGCTCTCCGAAGATGAGATTAGATGATTTCTGGTCTCTGAAGCTCTGCCGGCCTTCAAAGGAATATCTGCTGAGACACTGCAAATACCTCATAAGAAAACACAGGTATAGAAACAAAAAGATGTTCTGCAATTCTTTCCCAAAGTGTGTTTTTTTTCTTAAAGTTGCTAAAACTTTGATATCTTGTAAAAGAAATAACTTGTTTTGGGAAATGTCACGTTGGTTACATGATGGTCTATAGGTTTCTTGATTATTTTTATTTAATAAAAGCCAGTGGAGCAGGGCTAAACTACCCAATTAACTTCATTTTTGGTTTTACTATGTTATTCTAAAACTAGAAAAATCTGGCTATTGTGCGGGGAGTCGTGGGGAATTTTTAGATTCCCTTTTCACTCTGCTTCTCATCAACATGTGTTTTGGTACTGTCACCTCCCAAGGAAATGGAGTATGTTTCTGAAACACTCTGCTCAGAGATAGTAACAGCTCACAAGGATGCTAATGAAGTCTGGGGGTTGGATTCCTTTGCACATCTGAGACTCAACCGTGGTGAGGTCATCAGTGTTTCTCATTCAGAATCACTTGAAAGTTATCACTTATGCAGAATTCAGCTAACTGTGATGCTGCTTGCACGCCGCATATTTTGGAGCTGCCTTGTATTTGATATTTAGGGCAACAGCTTTTCAAAATCAAGCTTATGGTGTTGCCTTAGGCAAGAAATTGCAGCAGCAAGACAGCCTTTCAAAACCCAGCAAATTATTTGAAGCCGATAAATAACTCTTTCTGCATTCTTGGTGGGAATACTTTACTATCAGGTTCTGCCAAGAGTTGGAGGTCGGTTTTTTCCTGGTGGTATTTTACTTCTGAGGCAGCAAGCGAATGGCTCTTCTCAACTCACAGTCATTGTGGCTGGATGAGGCCTTTTGCAGATTAGCCACGCAATAGAATGAATAAAGGTGTTGCCAGCAATCTGGGAGGTTTATTAAACCCAAGTGTGGTTGTAAGCAAATGCAGCTGTACAGCCTCCAGAGACAGCTCTGAGTTACCTCTTCTTACTTTCTTAAACCAGACTCAAAAGGAAATGTTGCTGTGTATTTTCCAGCAGAAGTTTTTGCACCATGCTCCTGTTAATTGTCCATCTGAAGGAGCTGACCCTGCCAGGGAGTGGTATGATGGGGGCTTTGCTGAGGCTCGTGTGCCTCTCAGGGCTGGAGCTGAATGGCTCCAGAGTCACTTGGCTGCCCATTATCTGCACTCCCTCCAGCTCTTGGTACCAGAACAGGTACTTGGATTGCTGCACAGCAAATCCACTGCATCGGCTGGAGCCCTGTGTGGCCTGTTAACACGCTTAGTACCAGTCAGCCATAGTGGAGCCAAGCTGGGCTGGCCTAGAAGAGCAAGGTGTTAGTGGTTCCAGTTCCTTAAGGTACTTGAGCTCTCTGGACCATAGCAATATGATCTAATAAAATCTACATGCAAGTATGGAAGAAATCAAGCTTAATTACCAAAATGTCTTGTACATCAGGTAACAGACAGCCTTGGTTCTCCATGCACTGGCTAAACAGCTTGCATCTTTAGATAATGTCAAAATTTGGGCTGCAGATATCCACTACAGTATAAATAGTCAAGTAGATGACCCAAATGAAAAATAACAATATGAATAAATCTATTCAGTGTGTCTTCTTTCAGTCTGACAAGCCTATACCCTGTTAAAGGTAACTGAAATATATATAATGAATAAAATATCTTGCATTCCAGTAAGGCAGTTGATACAAAGCAGTTAAATAACTGAGAACATGGTTTTTAGGGTCCTGGTCTCTGGAATCCAGAATTGTTTGAGCTGTTTTCATGGGAAGGTTTAATACTCTGTATTGGTGATTCAGAAGATGACAGACGGGGTGTGATGCTGCGCTTGAGTAGATGATAAGGGGGAAAAAAGTAATTTTAAATCTCATCCTTTCTAGGTTTAGGCACCCAAAGCAGTGCTGCAGGAAAGTAGTTCTGCTCTCTGAAAATGCTGAACCCAGAATCATTTTCTGAGGGCTATGTTAACTTTTTCAGGGAATTCAGAGAAGTTAAAAAAAAATAATGGTGGTGGTGCACAGGATTTTTATATATGTGTACTCTTTCCAAAAGTGGGATGTTAAGGTGCAGTATTTGTAGAATTCAGGGGGTTTTGCCCCCATCGTCCCTTTTTCTGTTGTCTGGCAGAAGCAGGGAGCATTCTCCATCCCTGTACTTGCAGTTATGCTTCTGTGCAGTCAGGAATGCAAATATCCCTGAGGCTGGAGTGTTCGAGGCCTGTATCTGCACTGTGCTCCTCACATGAGGTGCTACTCATACCTTCCTTTGTGGGAAACAAACTGTACAAAGTGTTCTATATTTATATATTAAGAACCTGCTGTACATTTGCTTTTGAACATTTTTATTAAGAGCATAGTAGCTTACCCTTTTAAGTTCGATGCACCCCCAAAAAGCACTCCTCCCTGGCTCAGCCTGGCTTGAAAGCATCTACACCAGCAACTACAAGGCCAAGCTGCCATTAACATTGTTTTATTTGGAAATATTTGGCTGAAAGTTTTGTTTGATAGGTTTTGCTCTTTGGACAAATAGCAGTACTTAGTCCTGAAGGAAATGGTTGTGCTTATGGTGTCTGTCTCTTTGCAGGTTTGAAGAAAAAGCTCAGACTGACCCTCTCAGTGCACTGAAGTACCTGCAGAATGATTTGTACGTAACTGTGGATCACTCAGACCCCGAGGAGACAAAAGAGGTAGTGATGAGCTATCTTTGTCTTGCTTATAAAGAAATGTAAACTGTGTTCACATGTGGAAGCTTTAAGCCTCTTAAACCTTGTTTTTATTCTGTTTGAAAAAGCTCTACACGTGCATGACACTTTGCTATATATTTCTCTGCCCTAGAGATCATACTGCTTTAGAAACAGTCACTTTACAACTGCAGTTCCAGATAAAACAGCTTTTGTACTCATAATACTGAAGACTAGGCCTTTGTTTTAATTCCAACGTGCTGGTGTGTATTTTGGGAGCTTTAATTGAAATGTAAACTCTCTGAAATGTCACGAGTTTGTAGTTGGTTGTGTGGTAGAGAGTGAATAGAAATTCTTAACGCTGCCTTTTGGCTTGTCAATATTAAATACCTCTGGGGGAGGTAAAGAGGTTTTTCTCTAGATGATAAGTACTTCTGGAAGCAGATTGTGTATATACGTTGCTCGCTAACCTTAAACTCTTATTTCCTCTGCTTTTTGAATATTACCCAGTAGGCATGTTCTTTTATTTGTTCCAGGAATTTGTTCCCATTTCCTGTTTTGATTCCATTACCACAGTGCATGTCGCTTCACAGAAAGGATTAAAGAAATAGTGAGAAGTGTCAGATAAGGTGGTTGATTTGAGACTCTGCCATTAATTTCCACTCAGAATGTGGGGCAGCCAGCTAGGTGTACGGGCGTTCTGGGTAGATGAGGGAGGGTGAGACTGTGGGTATTACTCTCTTCTTGTGTTAATGACTTTGGAAGTGATTTGACAGCTCCTTTTATGAAACTGTGTGAGGAGAATGGGTGCTGTTATTCCATGCTGAGCCTCTGGGTTAAATCATTTAACCCGTGGGTTTTGAACTCATTACTTGATCTGAGGAAAAGATGAATTTACAGGCGCTGAAAGCTTTGTGACGGCGGGATATTCATCTTGTGTGTGCACAGTATAGGCTTGTAGGGTTAGCAAAATAAAGAAAAAATATTTACTAATATCAGGGTCTTGGAACTGATCATATTTGTCCTAAATTCTAGTTAGCCTTTTAAAAGTACTTGGTCCAATAAAACGTTTACGTGCTGTGCCCGGAAGTTCTCTGTTAGACAGTTTGCACTATAATTGTCCCATGTTAAGTACTTCACATCTTTTCTAGCTACTTCTAGCATAGGGAAGACAACAGATAATCCTGCTTTTCTTCAGCTGGGAAAGGCTATTTCTCCCATGCAGTGTGCTTCAAGGGGGCTCAGCCCAATTATACCTTGTCTTACCAACACTTTCCTCTTCCTACCTGTAATAACCTACGCCATACAGTAACCATCCTGATGCTCTCTTCTCCCCCCAAAGCCTCTCCCAAGATCATGTCCTGTGTTCTCTGCTCTCCCTTTCCATGTCATGCCTCAGTGCTGGTAGCCCTATCATGCTTCTAAATGCCATATGTGTCTGTGGCCAAGTGCTCCAGAAGAGATCTTTCATCTCCTGGCTGGCTGTGCCTTTTTAATGCCTGAACAAGAAAACACATGCGGTGTAGTCAGCAAGCTCCTCTCCTTTTCGTTCTTGCTGCCTCGTGCCACCAGCAGACCAGGGAACTGCCACAAAGGCTGCGTGTTGTGCACGTCTGGCATAGGAAATCCTTCAGTATTCTACATTGGGTATTTCCAGTTCAGTGTGTAGTATTTAACTTGGCCACCTTGTAAGAATAAAGAATTTACCTGTCTGCATGGACTCCTGAGATTTTGGGAAAAAGTAGTAGCTTTATCATACAAGGTAGAAATAAAATCAAGTTTTTAAAAAAATTATCCCTTTCACAGAACGTATTTTAATGATGTAGTGTGTGAGCTTAGGTAGCTCAATCCAGCTCAGTGTATATATTGTGAATCCTGTCTCTGCAGGCCTAATGCCAGATCCAAACAAAATTCAGTAACTTCTCCCCTGCCTGCTGGTCTGTTGGATCAACGCAGTAGCATCCAGCAGAATTGAAGCTTTGGTTCCAGTGATCTCGTAAAATCATCTAGCAGCTTCTACGTGGCTTTGTTTGTTTTGTTTCTTTTTTCCCCAAATTCTGCTGGTCACAACAACTTTAACTTCCAAAGCTTTTTACGTTGGAACAGATCTGGCAGGTATATGGCATCGAGCCAGCTGCGGCACTGGTACTGACTGGGTGTATTTCCAGTTGACGTCAATTTACCTTCCGGTCATCATATTGAGTTGGCTTTTTGCTCTGGCATTCCATCTTCAAATAGCTCCTGTGCTTTCCAGAGGACTGACGCAGGCGGTTTGGGTTCTGTATCAGATTTCAACCACCGGATTGATTGTGTATCTCTGCCCAGACACCTACAGACTCTGTATTTGTAGTTGAGACCATCTTAATTAATATCAAAGGCTAGATATCTGATTGGCTTGCTCTGTGCTGGCTACACTGTTGAAAGTTGTAAGGCTTCTTGGTGTGGCAAGTCTTAAGGGAATTGGTTTTTCCCTGTTTTCTCTCTCTCCAGGGCAACTGTTAAATTTGGGAAGGACCAAGCTGAATAGGTTTATCACTGACTTTGTGCTACAGTTCTCTTTAGAAACTGGACTATATAGTTTTATGGATTGAGTTACGGGTAGTCTTATATAATATTCCAAGCAGAATTTCACTTTGAGTAAGGCTTACTTGCTTTATAACAGAAGTAATTTCTTCTAACTTTGTTAGGCAAGTCTCTTCAGCTGTTTTGAGTTGGATGCCAAAGAAAATAAACAGGCTGTTCTTGAAACTTATTTTGTCGTTAGCAACCAATTTTGTTTAAAGTAGCATGAATGACAGTAGGGACATACTCCCAGATTTTCATTCCTTTGTGAATTTTAGGGATGTTAATAGGTTTATAGTTTCATTTCCTTTATTATTCTAAAGCCAAGTAGATGCCTTCAAGTAACAGCTATCGCATGGGTCCTTATTTTAGTAGCCACAGGCTATCTGCCAGGAGTCTCCTGTTGCCCATAGATGCAGATGCCAGTTCTCTTCAACTGTGATTCTGTTTGAAATTGCTTAAACCTCTTCAGTTAGTTCAGTGTTTGCAGATTGGTGAATCCTTTTTTTTCTGGCTGTGGATTAATAGCTCTGACACTATGTAAATGTAGATCCCCAGAGCACGTGGAAATTTGTCCATGTATTCTAGTTCGTGGAGAGATTGAAGGTAAGACTGGCCTTGTTATGTAAGGATTTCTGGTGGCGTGGATGTTCTTCCACTTCATATGCACACACATCTGCATTTGGTGGCAGTTTGGAAGTAGAGGTTTTTAAGATAAAAGTATGGTCGAAATATGAAGTCAAATGAATTCCAAGTTTTGTACTTTATGTCAAGGAAAAAAACAGGTGCTATGCAAGCACAGAAACATCACTAGATCATGTACACGGCTGAAGGTGGTGTTCTTTGAACACTTTTCTGCTGCTTAGTGGGATATAGAAGAAATGGTGAGATAAAAAATGGCCAGCGCTGCCCAAGTAAAGGAGAGTAACATGACTTTGTACAATGAGGCTCAACTACTGGTGGAGTTCAATTCCACGATTGCTCTGAAACAGACACAAAGTGCAAGTAAAACTCGCAGTTTGTTTTTCTTGGAGCATGACAGGAGAAAGAGCAAGGACCTGGAGGCCAATTTGAGGCCTGACAAGCTTGCGGACTGAGGCTGGAGGCCCCTGTTCAAGGCTGCTTCATACTTTCCATTCTTAAGACCTTGCCTTTAATAAATTTGCCAGATAAAGGCAGCGGGGCCCAAAAGTATTGTTTGAGGCTGTGTTAGACTGATATTTCTGGGAAAATTGAAGCCCAAATGGGAAAAATAGTTCTAGGAAGGAGCTAAGAAAAGCCTGCTTCTCTTCATGTCCTGCTGTGATTCTTTGTAAAGCCTCAGAGTCTGAGTGCTGCAGGAGTGAAGGCTTTGGAGCCAAGGAGTCTTTAGAAAACAGCGTTCAGCCTTCCCAACTTCAGCTAGTGACGGCTCCATCCTCAAAGAATTTGAGCCTCTCGTTGCTTCTTTGAGCCTGTGCTACGGGGCACCATCCCAGTAGAACTGGTCAAAGCGGAGAAACAGTTCTACGCTGTGATCTGAGCACTCGCCGTACAGACACTACGGAGGAGGGTTTATGTCTGATTTGTACAACCTGCTGGGTATCCCAAACAGGAGTTACTCGTTCCCTTAGTGTTAACCATTTCACTTGTGCAAAAGGCAGAGGCGTGCAGCAAATGTAAAACTTGCACGAGTTGCCACATGGCAGAATTGCTTTTTTGCTCTAGGTAGAAACTTAGGTGAAGTACACAACTGAGTTGGAAAGATGAAGGTCAGAAGTTGGAATGTGCCAGAATTAATATTACCCTTGTATTGTTAATTTAGCCGCTCTCTGATTATGGTTAACATTCGTTAACCTTATATTAGCCATATACATATATAACTAATATAGTTAGTTAACATGATATATTTATCGTTAAGGAACCCCTGCCTTAGTTCAGAAGGTGAGTTGGATCTCCCAGAGAGAAGTTAATTGTCTAACAAAGGAAACTGTTGTCATCTGAATGGAGGCTTAATTTGGAAGGGATGAAGCCAGTGAGCCAGAGGGGTTGTCAGAAGAAAATGGGCAGTATTGTGATTAAAATGGTTGGATTAAAGCTTCTGCTGGGTAATTGAATTCTGGTCCTGCCTCTGTAACAGAGTTGCTATGTGACTATAAGCAAATCGTTTTTCCTAGATGGTCATTAATTGGGTCTTTCATTCTGGTGTCTGATGGGAGAGATCTGAGGTGTGATTTGCCTGAGGGCGTTGCTCTTCTGGCTGCAAGTAAATTCAGAAGCTGCTGCATAATACTGTGTATTTTGAAAAATCGGATTCTGGTAGTTGCAAATACGGGACCCCAAAATAATCAGAATTTGAAGTGCTGTCTGTTACGATAACAACTAATATGATAGAAAAACTGATGAAGAAAATAATTCCTTCTTTAGAGTTTGGACTTCATGAAGGAAAAACTGCACTGGATATATGCTGTGAATGGTGTGCAGGAGACCTGGTCTTGATAAAGCAGTAATTGTCCTGTGCACTGGGAAAAAAGGAGGGATCCTTTGGGTGAACCTCATACAGTTAGCTGGCATTGTAATGCAGATGCAGAGTGAAACAGCTTGGGCTCGGTGCTGTCTGTGACTGATGTTCTTAACTTACATGCTTGACTTCTCGATCAGCAACTGCTTTTTTACATGTGAGCTGATACATAAAATGCAATTTCAAAACAAACAAGAAATCTCAAGGTTAACTGCAGTGTCATCAGCGAAGGAGGAGACACGATACGCATTCCCCACAAAGCTGGAACGAAACTCGGAGCTGTGGAAATCCATCATGCCTGGAGCAGATGAGGCTGGAATACTTGGCAGAAGGTCTTTTCAGTTCAGCGAGTTACTGGCTGGATCCTGCTTATATGGCCTTTTCCTTGAGCACCCTGAGACCCCGCCTCAAGCACAGCTTGCTTTCTGTTTACAGCAGGATGGCTGCCGGCGTTGCTGGGGGAGAAAGGGGAACCCCTCGAAGCATGTGGCATCCGCTTGGTCCCGGCACAGCCGGCTTCGTGTGCTACCAGGCAGTTGGCAGCAGGCCTATAAGGCAATTGTGTGCGAGGGGAAGATGGCCAGGACGTGGCACTCGCTATCAGAAGCAGCACAGATTTAGCCACCCATCTTAGTGGAACTTTTGGAGCTATTTACACTGGCATCTGTTGAAGTACGTTGCTGATTTGGAGCCAAGCAACTCTCACATGTTACGCTAGCGGTGAAATACATCCGTAGCATTGTGATCCCTTTTGACTTCATGTAGCCAGACCTCTCACTCAAGAGGGTACTTAATCAACCTCTTCCCTCCTTCTGCAGTCTGTCAATCCTGTATCTTTCTAACCCATTCCTAAATGCCTCCAGTGTTCCCTACCCATGATAACCTCCCCAAAACACTGCAAATTTATTCCAGCACACTGTAGTTCTTTTTTTTTTTTTTACCTTGATACCATGTTGAAATCTATCTTGCTGAAGTATTTTTGTAGCTTCTTGCACTTAGTTGTAGATTTACCTTTTTGTAGCGGCCTTTACATTTGTGACTTCTTGCAGTTTCGTCCTTTCATTCTTCTGTGGAGGATCTGCAGCCCTGACTCCTTTGAACTTACTTTTTATAGAGGCTGATATTCAGACCACTTGATTTTTTTCTAAAGCTTTCCTCATATGTTGGTAATTGATACAGGGCATCCAAAAGTGGTTGCCTTATTGTAGATGAGACTTACGAGCCTTGATAACAGCAGGAGTCCTTGATTTATGTGAAGATCCTACTCTTTTTCATGCATTTTCTACGCATTTGTCATTTTTGAAATAGGATGATACTGATCTGTTACAACTCCTAAATGCGTTTTCACAGAGCTTGAGTACCCTGACCTGTTTTGTACAGCTGATTTTTCCTGTGTATGTTGATTTGCACTTGGCCCTAGTGAATTGCACCTTGCTCCATCGTAATAAGCGGGAAGAAATGGAAGAAGTCTGAAGCCTGTCTGCTACCATGCTGGCAGTCTGAGTGGTCTAAGGTCTGTGGACTCGTGTTCTGTCAAGCACTGAAAACCCAGAATGATGCTGACCCTGGGGCGCAGATGAATCACTTGTGATTCACAGCTCCGTTTTCATGTCAAACCATTGGTGGCTACTCACAGTAAAGTTGCTTCACCTATTTGCCTCTCCCTGTTTGCTTAATCTTGGTGATGCCTCAATAATTTGCTGTGAATGTTGTATAAAAGCATTAAAAGTCCTATGGAAGTCAAAATGGACAATATCTGTTGCCAAGTCCCATCTGTAGGGCCTGATGCCATATTGTAGAAGAAATCAGATTGATGTGATACACCTTGTTGTTGCCAAATCCACACTGGCTGCTACTCATTCACCTTCTTTACTCCTAGACGCCTGCAAAATTGTCTGTGTTCCTATTTTTTCTTGAAATTGGAATTAAATGGATGGATATGTAGTTCCTGGCTGTTCTTCCAACTCCTTCTCTGAACGTATTTGCTTCTGTTTCCCATCCACTCTTCTTTCGTTTGGGCTGTGTGCTGTAAAGACACACAGACAGAAGGCAAAATATTACAAGCCTTTAAGGGATCAGTGAATTCTTCAGGGTAACGTGACAAAGCACTGTGATGTGTTACAAGGTGGGTAATTGAAAACAGCAGCCAGGAGCAGAGCATGATACTGTGTTCACTGTCTACCAGTAAGACATTAAGGGAGAATAAAACTGTGAATGTGTTACTTAAAACATTTTTACTCATGATTCTGATGTTCCCAGGCAAAGAACTTTTGCTAGAAAGACATTGCCGTAAACTTGTGATATGAGCTTCTCTGGCAGTTCAGGAAGGTTGTTGCCATTTACAGCTTTCTCCGTGTTCAAGAAGTTCATGCTGCACTGTAGCAGTTACCGTTTTCATGCCGCCTAATCCTTGCTCATGAAGACTAACACATTCATCCCTAGGAATGTTGTTGCGTGGAAGAGCCTCTACCTTACTTCTGCAATGTGATATCTGCTGGAGAGGGAAAAAAATGTATATAAAAATTAGGTATAAGGGCTCCCAGTCAAGTACCTTTCATTGCATCAATGCTGCTCAAATTCTAGGAGAAAACATCCAACTTGCTCTGCCAAGGTGACAAATTGCTCATATGAAAGTCTCTGCTGTTACTCCTGTGTATGGCACAGTAGTACTAGGGATTGTGCAAAGAATTTAACCCAGCGACTGTAAAGCCACTTGAACTTCTGTGAATATTTTGAATTTTTTTCTTGTGCAGTTAATAACACCTTTTTTTTTTTTTTCTTTGTCCTTCCACCTCCTCTTCTGCAGTTTCAGCTACTTGCCTCAGCATTATTTAAGTCTGGCTCGGATTTCACCACTCTTGGTGAGTATTGTGTAGCAGAAGAATTACACTAAGTATGTTCACCCTGATAATTGCTCTTAGTTTCTAGGGGATTTTATATCTAGTGTTACAGTTCATATGAATACTGTAGGCCCTTTTCGGTTTCCATAGGCGAAGTGCCACTTCGTAGACATTTGAGAGATTATTTATAATGACCAGTGTCCAATGCCTCGAGCCCATATTTAAAACATCTGTCACCAGTGGTTTTAAACCTATACCTCCCAGGATCACTTTGGGTCTCTTATTACATCTGATGCTTTGGTGTTACCCAAATAAACAGAAGCCTTGGTCAAAATAAAGCACCTCCTGTCACGTCACTTTGGAATCTCACAGCGTGACTACGGCTCTGTTTGCTGTGATAACTGCAATTCCTGGAGTAGTTTGGTTCGCTCTGTTCTTTGCAAAACCGATTCTTCGGGCAGAATGTCAAGAGTGAAGAAAACAGTGGCATGTAGGGCTGGAAAGAGGAGGTCTGAGCCAAAGCTGTAATTTATTTCACTCTTCTGTCCAGTTAACTCTTTGAAACAGTTGCGAGCTTGATCTTGGGCAAGCTGTAGGAAGGCTATAGGCATACCCTGTGTTCTTGTAACAACGTGTTGTCCTTGTTACCAAGCTCTGTGCTATGGATGACTTCCATTTTTGATGAATGCGTAATTCCCAATCCAAGGAATCGAGGGAAGGAAAAAGCCCCCTTCACTGTCTGCCCAGCTGGAAGAGGAAACTCCGCTGAGCTCGTGTGGTTTGGAAGACGTTATGTAGTTGATGCTCTAAGATGAATTTTTTTAAAGGAAGAAAACCCAAGTTTCAGAATACTGTTTTTCCCCTAGTTTTAAGTGTTCTAAAAGATGAATTAGTTCTGGACACAATACTTTATTCAGAGGTTGGCTTTACAGATAGGAGGATAGCATACATCAAGTGATGCTTCTAAAAGAAAACAAAAAAAGCAAACCTTCCTTGATTTGATTAACTTGGTTGACTTTGATTAACTGAAGAGTGAGTTCAGGGAATTTAAAAGCATTCCTTTGAGATACCAGTGATTGAAGTAATACAAAGCAGAAGAAATGGTTGTATGCCCACTCTCTTGTTCTCGTGGTTGATGGTTTAAGTACGGGGATTTGGATAAACAAGGCTCCTGCCCCAGACTAAGCCCACCCCTGTTGGGAGGTGGCACTTCACAAAACCACTTTGCAAAGCCCCCTTGTGCCAAGCTGCAGCCTGGGTCCTCTGCACACTGCAGTGATTAAACAGCAGCTTGGACCTGGGACTCCTACCATCAGCAGAGCTTGTCTCCAGAAAAACTGTGAGCATTACAAGTACCAGTTCTGGTGGAGACAGTGAAGATAATGAGGAAAGCCTGAGGACAGAAGAAATGAGGCACCAAATAAAAATAGCTGCACAGATTTTGTTTTCTGGGACATCAGAGCCAGTCCCCTGAGGACTCTTGCTTCCCCTTTTTCTTCAGGACCATCAGTGAGCTTGACAGCTGTTTGCTTATTACTTTTTATGGCATTTTGGTTGCGGTGTTGGCTTGGGGTGACGTGATGTCTCTGTGTACACGCACACAGTGGTGGGATGGGGAGCTGGCAGCCTTATTAGTTGAGGCAGAAGTAGCAGGTAGTTAACATCCATCCAAAACGGACAAGTGGCATAGTCCACAGCTCAACTGGACATTTGAAGTAGTGAGCACTGACTTGCTTTCCCCTCTTCTCCCTCTCCCAGGATTTTCAGATGTTGACCACACGTACGCGCAGAGAACTCAGCTCTTTGATACACTAGTCAACTTCTTTCCGGACAACATGACCCCTCCTAAAGGCAACCTGGTAGACCTCATCACGCTGTAACGGAGCGCTCAGTGGACACGTGGAAGAGGGGAAAAGCATCCATTCTCAGTATTTTAATTTTTTTACTGCATTGATTGACTGCTGGGATGAAGTAATATAGTAACCCCTAGGTGTTTGAAAGGGGTTTTATACTTCTATGGTGAATCCCTGAAGCTTTTCCCTTGGAGTAGGTTAATAAAATGTAACTGACGTACTTCCGACTAAATACATATATTTTTTCTGACTTTAGATTTTGAGTTAGCAAAAGTGAGATGAAAAAGGTGGAGGGAGAGGAAAAACCACACCAAATCACCCAGTCATGCAGTGATTGTGTTTGTCTGTAGGGGAAACATTGAGGTTTATGGGTTGTCTGGAATTAAAGATGATGGGGTTTACTTTGGGTTTTGTGAGAAAGCAGGGGAGGTTGTTCTTTGCTCATTTGTAGTTAGCCATGATATATTGCTTTATCCTACAACTCCATCCTCAGCAGCTGAGTAACTCGGTGACAGGACACTGGCACGCGTTGAGGTAATAGTGATGTATGTGTCTTGAGTCTCGTAGTCACAGTGTGTCATGTGAAGAGGAGCACGTGTTACAGACTGTCCCCTCGTCCCAGAACTGGGCAGACAGAAGTGTCTAATTGCATCCGACATCTGGTCTAAACCTAAATGCCTATCTTCGGTTCTCTGGAGCCTTCCACTTAGACCTGGCAAGTGGGAACCTCAGAGGAACCGCTGGAAAACGGGTCTGCACAGGCCCCTTTTCAGGGTTTGTTCGGTTTTTCACTGCTGTGCTTCTGCGATGGGAAACCGTGCAGAGCCCGGCAGAACCGGGTCTTCCACCACACGCACACCCAACCTCTGCAACCCGACTCCGGGTTGGGTGTAGGATTTCCGAAGCAGATTGTCTTCGTTTACATGCACCTACGCTTCTGTGTGCGTTTGTCGATGTGTACGTGTAAAGAGGATTGCTCCAAACAGCTTGTCCATCCTACGTGGTGCAGCTCAGTCACTTTCAAATGCATTTTAGACCTAGATGTGAATGTGAGGGAGGCCTTTTTAGCATAAATCTCTTTGAAAGCAAGCTGATGCATATGTATTGAAAATACATGCTTCCTCGCTGCAAGCTGCCTTTATAAATGAGGTAAGGGCTTGGTGCTGCACTGTGAAGTGGAATGAAGGACACGCGTACCCAGCGTTAGAAACTTCTCGGGTTTGATGTCAGTGAGCGTTCAGTACAAACTGGCAGATGTAAATATTTCTATGAGACTGCAGAGCTTTATGTCCAGAAACGTTCATGCCAGGAGGGTATCGTTGCTGCACCCACTGTGGCTACACGACTCCTGTGGAACTTGATGGAAGTCTTGTGTGTGCAACGATGATTTGGACTCTTGAAATAAAGAGTTAGTGAAGTGTCTTTTTCAGAGCTCGAGTGTCTGCTTGCTTTGATTGCGTTGTGTTGCCTCTTTATCACGTCCTTTGTGTGACTCTTGTAGTCCTGGTACATTAGAAATAAATTTCAAAACTCACCCTAGTGTTTAATCACTTAGAAAGGAACCATATGTTAGGGGCTGGGCTTTGCTTCATCTTCAGGGAGGACAATACTAATACAGTGTTTTTTAAGTAACTTGAGACAGTTTAGGCATTGTATGCCTCAGTGGATGGCAAGTCTGTGGAAGAATCCACTCCGTAAGTGATGCAGTAAATGAACTCTGATTAAATTGTTTCTTGAAACATTGCTTTTTTTTTTTTCCCTCCAGTGACATGGAAAGTTTTACGTCACTGCTGGACTTCATGACGTGCTACCTTTTGATGCTTTAACTAGTTCAGGTAGAGCTTACGTGGTGTGAATGTAGACTTGGACAGTGCTATGGCGGGAGAATATTCCAATTGAGGCGTTGTTTCTGTTGAGATTGAATTTAGCACTTTGAACACAACCAGGGAAAGTGCTGCAGCCCTCTTGTACTTAAAGTTTTAGTGCTGATGTGCTTCCTTATCGCTTGATCTCATTGCCTCTGTGTTCTCCGGAATCAGGTGATTAATTGCTTTTTGTGAGTTGTCTGATCAACCAAGCTCTTTGTGAACTTAGACGTACCCATGGAAGGTGTATCCATCCAGTCATCGAAGGTGTATCCGTGAGGCTGAGCCCAAATGACACAACTAGGCTCCGGCAAGCAGGAAGTGGAAGTCGAGGAATGCCAAAAGCGTCGTGAATGGTGCCGGTGCTGAGCAGGGCGTCGCGTCGGGCTTGGTCTGCGTTACAGAGATTGGATCAAAACCCGTTGTCCTGTGCGTCGGGGGTGCGTGCAAAGCCGGGCAGCCCAGCTCAGTGTTTTGTAGCGTAAACGGATGATTTGTCTGAGCGAGGGGAACATTGCTTCTGCAGAGCTGACGATCCCAGCTAACGAGAGCACTTCAGGATGATCAGATATTGACCTAACTTTATCCTGAGCAGATCGATTTCGGCTCGCACGAGTGTATGGATTACAGCTGGTGATTAACCAGCAGAAACTATTTGCTCAGCCTCGGCGTGTTTGTGGAGCAGCAGAGGCACCCTGTGGCCAGAGAGGTTCGTCCAAAGAGGAGGTTTCTTGCTGCTTTGCCAAGGGTCTTTCCTGCTTCTGTGTCCTTAAAGCTAGGGATCAGAATGAAATGATTTCTTTGCATCGGTGCACTGCCCGATTTAAAAACTGACTAAAGATTCTGAGCAGCGAAGTATAAATTTCCTTTCAAAATAAGCCAGTTATTGACAAGCAGTAACAGGGAGAGTTTGAATTTAATTACGTGCTGATCTTTAAAGATGCTGGTGTGATGTTCCAGGAGGGCGTTCCATGTCAGCATTACATGAAGTACAAACAGAAGAGAGACCCGGTTGGTCTGAAAACAGCCGGCTGAAAATGTCACAAACACACAAGCTGTGGGTGAGAAGTCTTTGAGCCTCGCCTGCTTGCGGGCTGTAGCAGGGACAGCTTTTTAGCTCCGACAAGACAAACGCACTGTCTTTGCCTTTGCCTGATATTGTAAGGTGACTCTGTATGGATTTAATGCTGCATAATCTTTGCACTACAGTAGTTTATCTCTAAATTATGTGCTAACTTGTAAATAAGGTATTGCAAAATAAAGCATCGTAGAGGGATTTGTTTATGATGACTGGGGTCTCTAAAGCCAAAGTTATAAGGTTCTGGTATGGTTTTTAAAGCTCTAAGAAGTCAGGGTGGAATAAACTTCACAGATATCAAGACTTAAGCCTCTCTGCAGCATTTTTTAAAAATCCTGTTGAGATTCAGGAGTTTGGTTCTTCACTGACACTGGCCTTCAGCGCAGTTGCCCTTACAATATTATTCAAGTAGATAATCTTTTTGGAAAATGTGGAAGTATTCTTTATACCAAGTTGTTCCTATGAAGTGATGCATTTTCCTAGAGAAACAAAGCCCTTCAGGTTTGATTTTTTGGTCACTTGAACTGGGCAGAATGGAGTTTCTTAACGTTTGTCTTACACAACCTGTCACAGTAGTCACGAGGCAGAAGTCCTTTTGAGTTCTCCCAAAGTGCCATCCCCAAAGAAGCACTGCTAATCGCAATGGGACCTAACACATTTTGGTGTGGCAGGGGGCAGAAGGACCTACTTAAATGATGTTGCTGCAAATGAGAAAACAAGCCATGCCTCTTTGTTTTTTTATAAGGATCCCATTAATTAATATTGCTCCTGGGGGGGGATCTGAAAAGGGGTGCCAAGTGGTTATTTGAATTAGTTGTAGGTTTTCCTCTTCTGCCTCTTCTAAAGATAACATATATGATGTATTCATTTTGAAGCGTCTCTTCTTTTTGCTGAGTATAGTGAGGAAGGAGAGCTTTGTCTCTGAAGTTTACTTTGTCCTTTCTCTGGACAGCGTCATGTGTGTGCAGTTTAGGTAGCAATACCCAGTTCTGTAAATAAATGTCTGGGGTTTGGTTCTCTTTGCCCGGGATGGCTCTGTGTGTACACGCTGGCTCAGGGGTCAAGCTGGAGGTTCCTACCAAAAGATCAATTAGCAAAATCATGCTCTTATTTTGGAAAATCAGTCTGTGAAGACCCCATTTTTTCTGAGGTATTTGCCTTGTGAAATAGCAGCTAGAGTCAAATTAGGAAATGTTTCCAAACAACATACTGAAACATACCTGTGATTGTACTTGGTAAGGATGCAATGACAGGCTTAAATTCCCCAAATTTTTTGGTCACTGGTTATAATAACCTAGCAGGAGAATTTGCTGACTGAGGCGTTGGTGAGCAAATGAATCGAACCTCCTGTTTGGAGGGTGGGCTTTTGCAGAGCCTAGTGGCAAGCAATTGATAACTTTTATCTGTGTTTTTCTTTAATCAGCAGCCACAAGTGTCATGGTCTCTGTTTGCTGTTCCTTCTTCCAGAAGAGACTCCTTCCAAAGCAGAGTAATGACTCTGGAAGAGTGTTTTCCGCAAGGCTTTGTGGAACAGCTGTATTCGGAATCTTTTTTTCCTGATGTGTGCAAATCTTTAGAAGGAAGTTTTCTTTGTCACAAAGTTGTACACCCTTCAAAAACTCCCTACTGTGCAAACCTGCACTTGTGAGTGCCGCGGGCAGCGGGTGATAAATTCGGAGCAGTGTTCTGAGAAACACTTGAAACTCGTTTGCTGCTCTTACTGTAAGAAAGATTAGTATTAATGCTGCTTGTTTCGAAAGCAGGAGGGTGGCAGGCACCTGTAATGCTAATACTATTAGTTCTCTTGCTGCCTCCTCTATTTCAGAACTGAGGAGGAAATACTTTTCGTAGGGCTTATCGAATGAAACTTGTAGTGTGAATTAGCTCTGTGCAACCCTAATGCTCCTACATCTCTGTACATGCAGTAATTTTGTTGATGTAATGCTGTGCTGCTTCTGGGGAAAATGGCAACAATTCTTAGATGCATTTCCATTCGGCACCTTTGTTTTTAGAAGTGGAAAAATGTCTTGTGAAACCTCGAGTCCTGGTGTATGCTTTGAATTTTAGCTTATTAGTTGTGGTTGGCTCGGAGTTAAGGAATATTTGGCTGTTGTCAAGTGGAGTCCTGACAGTAAAAGCAATTCATGTCTGTCTCAAAGTGCTTGTGTTGGTTTATAGCGGTAGTTATTACAGAAACAGAGGTGGCCCCAGTTAAAAAGTGAAAATTATTTTTGTTCTAATTAGGGTTAGGATTATAGAAACTCCGAGTGAGCTTGGCCAGTTTTAATAAGTGCACATGATAATTTGGAGCTGGGTCTTGTTTTCTGAAAGGAGAGTTTAAGATCAACTATATGACTTCTTGATAGAGATTGATAGTAGTATATAA